AATTCAATGTAATTAATGTTTTAATTTAGAATCCAATTCACATCATACTCATCTTCAGATTTCTACTGCATTTCATATACATATCTAGAGGGCCACCACACACACACACACACACACACACGAAGATATTATGCCAAAATTCTTTCTAAGCTCCTGAATTTGGGTTAATTCATTTTTTCATCCTCTGAATGACTCAACATCCACTGTTACACTAAAAGGCAGTCACACAGTCACAATACACACACTAYATTAATACAGTAACAACTTGACACCTTGGAGCAGAGTTGCTCTAAGTTAGTGTTAGGGTGTTCAACTCAGCTGTCCTCACAAGTTACACCCATGAAGAAAAGTCCTGAAAACATGGTGCTCATTAAAGGTTTAAAAGAGCAATGAAACTGCAGGAAGTGATGTTAAGAACTACATTTTACCTTTAAAAATATTCCATCTGAAAATCAGAAACATTCAGACAAATCATCCCCTGCAAAGGATACATTACATAATATGCAAATATGAGTTTCTGAAAGAATTCAAAACATATGGACAGCAGCCAAGTGCAAGTTTTATCTCCTTATATTTTGCTTACCCTTACTCCTACTCACAGCCTGAGAATTAACAGTCCAAATAGCAATACCTGTGTCCTGACTATGCTGACTGAACTAACATAATACCATAGAGATAGGAAGCAAAATTAAATAAACAGACCAAACTTTATCATAATCAAGAGCTTTCAGGGAGCAAGAGCAAAACTTGCAGAGAAGCTTCAGCTTTATTTCAACATTCATATCCTTCACCATGCAACAGCAAACTCTTTCCTGCAGGGCCTCATCATCTTTGCTCCTGAACTAGTTTTTGTGGTATAGAACACTCTCTAATAGAACTGATTGTTAGAACTAGCTTCGATTTCAAAACACTTCTTTAGATACGGATTTGATATGTGACATAATTCTTACTTCTTAACCTTTCGTCTTCCTAGCTTACTTAGATAGAAGAGATAACACCTAGCACAGCAACATMATTTATCAAAACATAATTTACTTATTGATTATATGTTTATGCCAGCACACAGCCTCCCCTTCCACCTAAAACTCAAGCAGACAGCAAAGCAACACACTGGAACACCGACCAGATTTTTATCTTTAAAACTTACCRCAACACAAATGCTTACTACTAGTAACCACACCTGCACTCCAGGAAGTCAAACCATAACCATAATGTTAGGGAAAGGTGAGTAATAAGTAAGTATTCATTTGTTGCAGATTCTAAGATGACAAAAATACAGTGAATATTAATGTTCTGATAACTTCATCCGATACTGGCTTCCATTAAGATAATGAGACACAAGGGCACTACATCATTTGAGTTTGAGGGTTAYAGAAGGCAGAAAAAATCAGCAACACTACACCAGTGTATCCCATCTACACAAATACTATATTCAACAAGCAGAGACTTAAGGACTGCAGACTGAAAGTAAATCTGCCAACAATCTGACAGATAACTAAAAGAACTTTTTTCCGATTATACGTTAACAGAAAAGTCTGTTCTGTTCCCAAGTCACCTGCTTCCTAGTCTGAGATTCATCAGAATGTGTCAAAGTCATTTAACAACACAGTGATAGGAGTCTGACTTGCTTTAAGGACAGTATTTCTGACAAAAATCAGCCATTTAGAAAAGGTGTATTATAGAGACTTTAAGCAGGGTTTTCTTTTTTGCTCTGACACAAAAAAAAAAAAAGTCTTCAGTGGTTTTTAATGTAGAAGTGGAGAATAAGTCACTAAGTTCTCTAAAATATTTTTTTTACTATTAGTAAACCCAAAAGATAACAGTACTGCTAAGTCCAAGACTTTAAAACCAAAGCTCTCTTGACTAGATAGTCTGAATTGATAACACGTTAATACAATATGAAAAGGATAAGTTCTACAAAAAGATGMACAAGACCTTTTCCTGAAACAGGGTTATGAAGAACAAAACAATGTGTCTTCATTTCCCCAAAAAGATACATACCCTTCCTGGAAGAACAACTGCTTTAACCACTCTTGAGATCCCAAGGTCGTACAGACAGAGAACGCTTCCCTCTGCTTCCTCCAACCCAACCAGGAGTCCGGTCCTCTTCTGCCAGGAAAACTCCTTCACCACACGAACAGTGGGAGGCTGCTCATTGACTCCACTGAAGCGATACGCAGAGAGCCGCTCTCCTGTCACAGAGTTCACCACCTCCAGCTGAGGGCCACACGCCAGCCACGCCAGGCCACTTCTACCTGAACACAAAAGAAACACCACTAAATAAAACCCCACCGCACGACTGAAACAACAGCAAAGTCACTGTCACTGCACCTTTCCCCAAAATGCACCAAAGAAAGGAACACCAATCTACCTACTTCTGGACAATTATCTAAAAATCACCCCTTGCAATCCTCAAACAATACATCTTCAAATTAATAACCCCAGTATTTGGCATTTGTACTTGTCATTGCTGCACTCAAGGATGTTGACTACTTGGGATAAAGATTACAACAGACTGATMTCTAGTTTGTATACCATACTTGGATGGGTTTTGCTAAAACATGCACAGGAATACAAATCTCAAAGCATGCTTCAAATATAGCCCATTAAACCAACTCATTTCAACTTTAATAATCTTGTTTGACACATAGCTACTCTGGGCAGGGATTTGGATACAAAATTATCTTAAAACGGGCACTGCATGCATAAATTTCAACTTTKACATATTCTTATCCCAGAAAGAATTTAACAAGTGTTGTTTCACTGAAGAATTTAACACTTATACCGTCTCTGAGGAACTTCAAGCTCAAAGGATGGATTAGCTCCATTACTGCACTTACAGTGAGGTAGACAAGATTCTACCTGGTCTTAACAGAAGTCCAGACATCCAGTTCTACCTTCAGATCACCTAGAAAGTCAACTATCTAATCTGCTTAGCTGCTTTCAGCAACTCTCACTAGGTCCTCATCTGTATCCTATTAAATACCTTGGAAATACATAGGCAGTGCTTATCAGAACTGTCCTCTTCTTTCCATTTTTTATTTAGAGAAGAAAAAGGAGTATACTGTGTTTCTGTAACTATTTCTGCATGGGATGTTATGATGGATGTAAAACCTGAGCTGCGAGAAAGAAATTGGTCCCAAAACAACACTATTTCTTCTTTGAAAACTGCCTTCTATTTCATTCAAAACTCAAGAGGGCTCAGCATGGTCAGCTAGATTATTTATATGGCACAAGATTGGAGCAGTCAATTAAAATTTCAATGCTTACCMTTTTAATTGTTAAAATACCCTATTAGCGATGTCAGAACCCGATGCATAGTTTAATCAAACCAACCTGATCTACGACCCTGTGCTTCAGGCAATAAAAACTTTATACCAGAATCAAATTTTAAAGGAAAATGCTCACCTCCAGAAAACTTCCCACACAGTACAGAGTCTAGGGTGATCTCATCTTCCCCAAGTGCCTCAACAGTCACCTCTGGAAACTGCAGCAGACTGCTCGTTACCTGAGCCGTTAGGTCTCGCATTCTTCACTGTAAATAAAAAGCGCAAAAAGAAAGACTCATGTCAACCATAAATATCTTTGAGACTGACCCAAGCTTCATCAGTATGCAGTGACAAATCTCCTATATATCATCTGTAGCTCTTTTCACTTAAAAGAATAGGCACTTGGGACAGTTTTTCATTTCACAGCACAGTAAAAGGAGAATCTTGTGTTTTCTGATGCCTACGAGATCAGCAACAAAAAGTGACACAGAGGGATGGATAAGCAACAGGAAGGAGAACAACACACCAAGTTCAAGTCTACTCACACAGGTTAGCAAGATGTGATATCAGAAAAATCACATTTTATTAAGCTTCTCAGTAAGAGGCATAACTCTTTGCCTTTTCCCTTGATTTAATACTTTATCATTTGTTGTCAGTTGTCTCCTAGTAGATGTCACACATCAGCCTCTTTATTTTTCGCATGTGTATTTTTGACATTCAGGAATACAAAGTTCCTGACTAAATTCATTCTCAAATTCTTCCAGAAAATATACTGCTAATACTTACAAGCAATTCTTCCGATATTCATAGCTCATCAATTAGAAGCACTCTTCCATACACTTAAGAGGTAAATGTAACACAGCACTTCAAAACACTGGGTTTTTTTCTCTACTGAAATCCTCATATTCCTTATTCCAGTCCCTTCCTTCCTACTGCCTTCACATCATATCTCTGCAGTATTAGTCAAAAAATTTCTAGGCCTCACAGAAAATTTCACACCCATGCAGGTGCTCCACAAGAGCTCACATTTCAGTATGTCAAGACTTTTTTTTTTGTGGAAAAATTGAAGAGCTGAACTGATTTACCGGATTAAACAGGTGGCTAAATATGAGATAATCCATAGGCATGGAACTACAAATTAATTTCAGTATCTATGTTTTGCAAGTTGTCTGGCTTAAAGAAATGGCTTCTGAAAGACAAGACAAGRCAAATTCAATTGTCTTGCTCAAACACTGTTGCTTTCTTCATGACATCTCAAGACATTATGCACAGGTCACTGGTGCTGGGTGGTGCTCCTATGTCTGCTGCCCAGCAGGACAAGGACCATGGGAAGCACAGGAAGGGTAAGTCAGGGTCCTGCACTAAGCAGCAATATTTTRACATGAATGTTGCTAATGGCAAAGCCAGTACTGCAGGACGCTGCTATAGCCAGCCAGYCTGATTACTGTGCCAGCATTCACTACTAGCACAGATCAAGTTCCAAGTGGGACAACTTACTTGCAGCAGTTTTACTGCATTTCCTTTTCGGTACTTGCCATCAGTTCCAAGTGACAACTTCTGCACTGAATTCAGGGGCTCCAGAGAGTAAAAGCCCTCATAACTTGACCACCATTCTTGCTTAGTTTAATTGCAATTTAGTAGATATATTTCAGGAGTAACCCACACCACAAAATACTAATTCAGACACATCTGGTTGGTGAATAGCATCTTTGGAATGTTTCACTGTGTGCCTGTGTTCCTTTCACTGGGCACCACTGGAATGTTCCTGGCTCCATCTGCTTTACACTCTTTCTTCAGGTATTTATTTGCATTGATGAGAACCCCTAAGCCTTCCCATCTCCAGGCTGAACAGTCCCAGTCTTCCAGCCTTTCCTCAGAGAAGAGGCGCTCCAATCTCCTCTAASCATCTTTGTGGCCCTTYGCTGCACTCTCTCCAGTACCTTCACCTCTCAAGAGTCTGGCAAGCCTGGACCTGGACACAGCATTCCAGCTGAGGTCTCACCAGTGCTGTACKAGAGGAAGGATCACCTCCCTTCACTTGCTGGCAAAGGTTCCTTCTCCTGCAGCCCAGGCAGGGGCACAGTGCTGGCTTATGGWCAACTGGGTGTCCACCAGGACTCCCAGGGCCTTTTCTGTCAAGCTGCTTTCCAGCTGGGCAGGCCCCAGCAGGAACTGGTGCCTGGGGTTGTTCCTCCTCCAGCGCAGGACTCTGCACTCCCCCCCCYGTTAAACTGCGTAAGGTCACTGTCAGACCATTTTTCCAGCCTGACAAAGCACTGACTGACAACATGGATTAAGAAGTTTTAGAAAAGAGCACGAAATTCCAGAATTCTTGTAGTGAATAAAAAAAATCTCTTTTTGTAAATAAGTATGGAGACATCTGTGTGTAAATATATGATTACTAATACAATATACCACAATAATAGCAAGACAGTTTCAAGAAGAGTGAACCGATATCTTCAAGAAAAGAGTGAACAGGTATCTTCCAGTAGTGCAGGGCAACTTCTCAGCTGCATGCTCTCCATGAGTGACCCTGCCTGGGTCATTGCTTACCTGCCTTGCCAAGAGTGGCCAAACTGGAAATCAAATTTAAACATCCTCCACTGGAGAGATTTAAGTTTAAAGAAACTGCTCACCATCCCAAAAATAATTATTTCCTGGTAGAAAGCTCATAAGCTCATATGTTGATACAGTGTACTTCTGCCCACAGCACAAAAAAAAAGTTTTTATCAGTCTACAAACTGTAAGAACTATCAAGTAAGACCTATCAAATGAATGGCACTCCAACACATGAACCATTCTTGTAAAAAATTAAAATACCAGAGCATTAGGCATGTTCAGGTTTCCTCCAGTAAGCCAATGATWTTTTTTTTCTCTTTTTTTTTTTCTTTTATTTTCTTTTTTCTTTTTATTTTTTTAAGGAATCTGTCTTGGCCATATGGAACGAAATTGTTAAATTTCGTGACAAATTATGAACAATAGATAGCAACCTGTCTATTGGGATGCTTTACTTTCATCATTCTACTAAGTTAAACCAAGAGTTACCAGGAAATTAAAATGGGGGGGAAATACTGAAACAGATCTAGATAAAAGGCATAAAGCCTCTCCTTTAGGAGATTTATCAAATAGCAACTGCATTTCTGCTCTCTTTGAAAACAATAACTACAATCACATTCCTATTTCTGTCAGTTAGAAAACAGATTAGGGTAAAATATCACCTGCTTACTCCATTTKCAGGAACAAACCAGAATTCAACATTCCAGTTGTATCCTATAGCAATGCAGTCTGTGCCCAAGTTGCCAAAATAACCATTCTTCTTCACCCTAGGTACTCACAACTTCCAAACATCATGCACTATTTCCAAAGACCAGAATGTCATAGACTTTTGGATTATAAAGCTCGGGAGGAGGGGAGAGGGGGGAGGGAAGAGAAGAAAGCGAAATTGCATGTTCAAGCAGAATTACATACAGCCAAGTCAGAGTTCTGAGATGTCAGTTTTCACTGATGGTATTACACAAAAATCAGTTTAAAAGGCCAACAATGTTATGTGTTCAGTGAAGGAAAAGCTAAAAATATGGTCGGCCACAGCTGAAGACAAGATTTCACAGGACACGTTGACTTCACTGACATCAAAAGAGAGACCTGGCTGCCACCTCTCATCTCTGTATTCGCTCCTTTGTTCTACTACTGTTTTTTGGAAGACATTTCCAGCATACCACACTGGAAATGTCTTACCCATCCCAGCACAAATTCCCGAACCACATTGAAGAGAAACACCTGCCAGACCTTTTCCAAACCCCCTGCTCAATCCATTCTCTGGAGCAGGCTGCCCAAAGCTGGGTCCAGACGGATTTGGAACATGTGATTCTCCAACAGGCTTCTACAACCAGCAAYCTCATAAGATCTACTGCAGAAACACTGGCAACCCATGCAACAGGCCCTGCTGTTTAGTGACTCTCTCYCACCAATTAAAGGATTCTATTCTCTCCACCACATCAGTAAAACAGTGTCACACCAATAAAAGGCCTGTCACCACTGCTTCTCCAAAACTGTATCTGACACCTTACTAGGCAGAAGACAAATTAATAGAAGCTTGATCATGCTTGCAAAAGCCAACCCCAGGCAAATCAATGCAGGARAGAGAGCTGAGGCAGCATGTGAATGAGGAGCTGTCCTCCCCAGGATACAGAGCTGTGTGCCCAAACACATGAGACAGCTGCCAGCCAATGTTGACATAACCACCGAGACCGATGTGTCCTGCAAAGCCACCTCAGCCTTATACTCCAAACGCGGTGAAGCCATCCCGACACAATCAAGTCCCTCAATTTCCTCTAATCTCCCCAGACACGATCAGGAAGCAATCATTAGACCTGAAAGACTGACACCAAGCATTCTATTGGCAGAAGCTCCAGACCTGGACTCAGTTTATTACGGAAGACACAGAGCACTTTTGTTCAARCCAGCAGCAACTTTGCTTCGCGATGTTTTACTTCACGCAAAGACCCACACACCCCCCACAAATCGGATTCCTGCGAAGCCGTGACCTCCCCTTACTGCCATCCCTCGTCCCGCAATCGCCGCTCTACGCACAGAGCKCATTTCCCGCCTCCTCATGGAATACAACCCCGAAGCCCGGCGGGGGAGGGGGAGGCGGAATGAGAAGAAAGTAAAGAAAAACCCTCCAAAAACAAGACCGAGGGAGAGAAAACAGAGGGCGTGCGCGGGTGGCCGGGCAGGAGGGAAAGCTCCCGGCGGCAGCCGCCGCATCTCCCACGCCCCCGAGCCTGACGGAGCCTCCCGGCTGCGGAGCCTCCCATGTGCGCTGCCCAGGCCGCACCGCCCGGCCTCCCCGCCGCCGGGGGCCGGGGCACGTGTGGCGGACACGGCGCCGCAGCCCGGGGCTCACTTACGTAAGGGACGGGCGGCCGGGCCCGCCCGAGGCCCCCGCGGGCCCGCGCTGCGCCAGCAGCGGTGCCGGCCTGTGCGGCTCGGGAGCAGCCGGTATCCGCTGGTACGAGGGGCAAGGAAGAAAGGGAGGAACGAAGGCAGACGGGCGGGCGGGGGTCGCCGCCGCGGCCGCCACCTCCGCCGCCTCCTCCTGTCCGCGCCGCCGCCCCCAGCCCAGCCCAGCCCCGCCGAGCCCGCGCTCCCGGTACGTGCCGGTGCCGGTACCGGCGGCATGTCCCTCCCGCGGCGGCGACAACGGCACGGCCCGGCCCGGCCCCGCGCGCCCGCGCACCCACCTCGCTCGCTCACCCGCCGCGCGGGGGGCGGGACGGCACGGGGGGGGGGGCGGTGCAGTTCTCGCGAGACGCGGCGCGAGCCTCCGCGGGAATTTTCAAATACGCGGGGCACGGTCGCGGGCGGTGGCGGCGGYCGTCTCCGGACTACGGATCCCGGCGTGCCGCGCGCCAGCCGCTTCCGTCTCCGCCCCGCCGGCTGCTGTCTCTCGCGGGGCGCCGGGAGCTGTAGTCCCTGGGCGGGCAGCGCCAGCGTCCTACGGAACCCGTTCCCGGCTCCCGCCCCGCAGCTCGTGGCGACGGCTCTGCTCTCCTGCCCCGCCAAGGGGGAGCACCCGCGGCAGGAAGAAAGCTAACCCTGCCTACCTATGTCCATCTCGCCGCAGAAGCCGCTCACCCCCTTGTCCCCCTTGTCCCCAGTCTATGTGGCTTTCACAGGATCACAGAATGGTTTGCATTGGAAGGGAGCTTCAAGATCATCTCGTTCCATCCCGCCTGCTATGGGATGGAGACAGCTTCCACTGGACCAAGGTTACTCCTAGCCCCATTCAACCTGAGCATGAACACTTCCAGGGACGTGGSATCCATAGCTTCTCTGGGCARCCTGTTCTAGTTCCTTCCCTCACAGTGAAGAGCTTCCTCCTACCGTCTAATCTAAACCTACACTCTTAATTTGAATCCATTCCCCCTTCTCTGTCACTATGTGCTCTTGTAAAAAGTCCCTGTCTGTCTTGTAGGTTCCCTTCAGATACTGAAAGGTCAGTCATTAGGTCACCCATTTAAAAGGATTTCAAAGGGGGAGGCTATTTATCTGCAGTTTTCTTATTGTTAATATGAAGGTATATGTAAAAACTCAACAAAGTTATTACAAAAAAAGCATTATACTGTTAGTCACTGAAAAGACAAAAAGTAAGTATTAAGTCAAAAGTGCAAGTCTAATGCTACTCCTTTCAGTGTATATATTGTAATGTGATCTAAATGCTCACTGACTTTAAAAAAAACATTTTCAGCTATTAACAAACCAATTAGTCTAGTGGAAGGCTTCCCTGCTCATGGCAGGGGGGTTGGAACTATATAATCTTTAAAGTCCCTTCCAACTCAAGCCATTCTATGATTCTATGGAATTTGCAATGCTTCTAAGAAGTGGCAGCATCATCAAAGGGGTGACAAAGACATTTAATTTCCCCAAGCACACATTATCTCTAAATTACAGTTTTGCCTCTTAATGTTGAGTCTACCACTCTTTATATTATTATGCAAATCWTTATTGTGAATTGGTGAGTGCCATTTTTGATCTGTTAATTTGTGTCATATAAGAGCACGGGCCATGGACAAGGAACCCACCATGCCGGGCAAGAAGATTCCCTGGGCCAGCTCAGCTCCTGACCTTCTGGGGAGGCTGAGCACAAATCACAGCTCTGCCTGCAAAGAAGGAAGCCTGGCCCTGGTCACCAGCTGATGGGTGGCGGCAGGGCTGATTCTGTTACATGTGAGAGGCTGTGTGTGACACAGACAGATCCAGTGTGGACTAGGGAAGGTCTTGAACGTGAGAACAAGCAGCACACATCTGATGTGACAGAAGGTAGGGAGCCAAGGGAGAGGTGCAAGATAGGTGTGGAGGACCAGCTAGACCCATATCCTTTGCAAAGACATTTAGAGCGATTGCGTGCAGGACAGGGATGCATTTATTAAGGGAAGGACAAGTCTTTCTTCAGTAAGCACAATTCAAAGTGGCAATTCAGTCTTAGCTCCATGCATGAAGACAGAAGGGCTTCATATCAAGAATTATTGGTAGGACAACACTTGCRAGGTTTGGGTGTGGGCTGAACAATGACCTGGGGAGAAGTTTGGACCAAAGGTGTCCCCCTCTCATAGGCATATGTGAACATTGGCCTAAACWGCAGCTGAGRRGCAGCAGGATGAAATGGGCTGGTCWAGCYGAGCTTGAGYTTCCACTGACAGCAAGGCTTCCCTGAGCAGACATCAGAGGGGTGAGTGAGGATGCGTTTGGAAAGAAGGTCTACGACTCATCTTGCCCAGTTTTTAGTGTCTATGGTGCAGTCATCAGCCCATTCAACTGGACTCCTTTTTGGACAGGGAGAGGAAACAGCTTTTCCCTGAGTGCTGCTCATATGGCTGGCTGTGGAAAGGACTCCACAGAGGAGCAGGGGAACGGTGAGGTGTCCGTCCCTTGAGGACGAATGAGCAGCAGAGACARTGTGTGATGATGGACTGGCCACAACCTCTATTCCCCATCCTTCTGTGCTGCAGAGAAATCAGCAGTGTAGTTCAACCCAGGAAGATGGAAGCGGTAGGGGGAAGATGTCTTAATATTTAACTTTCATTTCTCATTGTCTTACTCTGATGTAATTTTACTGAGGAAATTAAATTCTTTTTTCCCTGAATCGAGTCTGTTTTGCYCATGACAGTCACTGGTGAGYGATTTCTCCCTGTCCTTCTCTCGACCCATGAGCTTTCATTATATTTTCTCTCCCCGCCCTGCTGARGTGGGGAATGATGGAGCAGATGATGATTTGTAAACAGTAGGAGTGTTAATAGATGCATTTATTAAAATGATAAAGAGCCAGAGAAGAGCGAGCAATTAAAGATGTAAAAATGAGAGTGAGGAAATTAAAGAGATGAGAGAAAAGTGGAACCAACAGCAAAAAAAGGAGCTGGATGACAAAACCAAAAAAAGAGATCTCTGTGCCTATGGCACCAGCAAGCACTGGGAGAGAGATAAGTGGAAGTTGATTTGAAATGAGAGGATTGCAAAGTCAAAAGACAGGAAGAAAGCAGTGAAATCCTGTGCAAATAGAAAAAGAAGCAGGAAGGAAGATGCAGTGAAGAGGGAAGATACTGCAGCTGAAATTGTATGCAAAGTGTATGCAAATTGAAAATGTTCAGCTGGGCTAGAAAAATGAGGCTGCTTGGTGTACCAGATGTCACCAGGTTTCATGCAGTTGAGATTGTTAAAAACCTGACGGACAAGCTGCGTTAGAAAGCTAATGCTCTTACTCAGCTAAGTTAATGATTGCCAACTCTAATTGTTAAGGCTGGGTTGGGAGCCAGAGGAGTCACAGCTGCAGCAGCACAGCAGCTCTGAAATGGGGCTCCCRAGACTCAGGCACCAATTCAGCTGCTCTACAGCTGCAGGAGCCTGGACCCTGGGTGCTGGTGCACCCATGGGGGTGCCCAACCCTGGCAATACCCCTCCCTGGAGGCTGGGGAAGCCTGGAACACAGCGCTGGGTGCAGGGAAGGGCTCCAGCACTGTTGTCTTCCCCACTGAGTCAGATCCTCTGCTCTGGCAAAGAGGAGAAGAGGCCAAAAGCAGCTTTTGAATTACAGGGAGCTGGAGGTGGGGTTCAGGCTCCCCGGTGGCATCCTGGGCCGCACAACCTTTCTTCCAGGTCAATAAGTCAATATCTAATTAAGGGTGAGACTGAYGAGCACTCTGATGCTTTGTGCCACCCTGGTTTTTGCTCTTGTGTCTCCATTTGGTATCACTTTTGCCTTTGTATTGCATTTGAGTATCTGTGATTCTGCCTCAAACMGTTAAAATGGAAAGTGTTGCATACTTGATAGTATTTTTTTCAAATCATTGTGAAGAGGACACAGTAGCATCCTCTACCAGCACTTCTCGGTGCTCATGGTCTGACATTTTCACCAAGCTGTAAGAAAAGTCAGGAAATCCTCAGATGAAAACTCTGTGTTCAAATGAAGTTCATTCTGTCAGCATGTACCAGGGATGTAAAGGTGAAACAAAGAAGAAAATGCTGCAGCRGGGTAATAATTATTTTCAAGCACAAGGCTGTTTGTAGAGACAGGATGCTCGGCAGTGTGGTTATACTTATCCAAATATTTAATTATAAGGGCACAAGTTTAAAAACAAGGATTAAACACTGCCTTTCAGTAATTACATAGAAGGAATCTGTTTGGAAAACATATGTGGTGTCTTTAAAGCCAAATTTTTAAAACACTCACACAACAGACAGGTTTTTGGGCTTTTTAAGACATTTTGCTGTRAATTGTTTCACCTAAGATTTTTGTAGAGTTTAAAAATCTAATCTCAATTTAATTTTCTGGACCCAGAATGTGTGGTTATGAGATATTAGCAATTAGTTCTATACATTCTTTACTCCTAAGTAATTTATAAGTATTTTCAGGCTTTAATTCTACTATATATTTCATTTGGAATAAATATTTGCTATTTTTCCCTTTAAAATTCAATTAATTCAATTGTAAGACTTTAATAATATTACACATTAAAGGCATTAATTAGTGCTTTTCAATATCAAAATCAAAGTAATTAGAAACTTAATGAACTGAAAATAATATAACGGGATCTCTTCTATTCTCCACTAGAGCAGCAATAATTTAATATGAAGAGAGGCACTCCAGAATTTCCCAGAGAAAATTAAGTGGTGGTTCAGTTGGAACTGCAGTTGCTACAGAGTCATGCAAGCCACSAAAGGAAAAGAGGGAGAAAACTTCTGCATTTCAGTTTAAATGGAAAAAAGGGGGACCTTAGGAGACCTTGAATGTGCATTCTTGAGCAGCACACTGAGTGTTATCRCATCTCTGTTTCATCTGTGGAAAATGCTACAGCTTGATTTTCAGAGCTACTCCCAGCTGCATTTTGGAATTTGGGTTTTTTTTCTATTTTGTTGTTTTTATTGTTGTTGGGTTTCTTTCCATTGTGGTAATCTGAAGCCTGGACATCTTCTTCTTGCAGACTGAAAACATGACTTTTCTTCCCTTAAATCAGGTTGGGACAGGAAGGTGTTTTCTTGGTCTGGTCCTCTGTCACACTTCCGTGTGTGTAGCAATTGGAGAAGTACTGTGGTTAGAGAGTTTGGTGTGAGCTGTGACGCTGGGGAAACCTGTCCTTTCTCTAACACTTAGTTTGTGTACACGTGCTCCTAAATAAGCAGCAGAGAGAAGAAAAACACTGCAAGGTCTGGCTTCAGGCAGGTGGGAAACTCTGGGTAATATTAGTAGCTTGATTAATGCCATTCAGGCTTTTAATTTCACAATTTATGGGCACTGTGTTTATTAAAACCTACACAAAGCAGTCAGAAGTGAG